AGAGTGTGTGATAAGCTGCAGCACCAAGCAGAATTCATTTGAAAGATAAAACGCAGAACCTCCGGGGCCTGAAGCGGAGCCACGCTTTCCTCTTCGTCTGCCACCCTGTTGTCTGGGATTTCATTAAAACAGACTAACCACCTATCTAGAGCTAGCAAAACTTTCCTGGGTGATTCCTAATCTTTAGTCCTCAAGAGAATCCACTGACAGTGTTGCTAAAATGTAAGAGTCCCTGAAAACACAGACTCCGTATTTTAACAAGCACCCCATAGGGACGGTCATCTTCTCTCTAAATCAACCGTCCTTTACTTCTCAAACTGCTGCCTGTGATCTATTAGCAACTCATGGAATTAGTTCAATGGCTGAAGGACAGGGGGAGAAAAGGAATGTAGGGAAGGAAGGCATGGGTAGAAAATGAGGAGGAAACGATGGAGTGAGAGCAAGCTGAGACACTCCATTTTCCTGTGACAGAGCCTACGGATGTGGTCTTTGGGGCTGCACTGATTCTGAATCTGCAGTGAGGCAGGACACACCATGGTTGTCAGAGCCCAGATATGGGACATCCATGGTGGGACAAAAGGCTGGAGATGGAGCATGCATGAAGCCCTCAGTCCCGTCCGTCCCTAGCATCACATAAAACCAGGAATGGCGACACACACCTGTAATCCCGGCATTTGTAGGGTAGAAGCAGGAGGACCAGATATTTAAGGTTACATAATGAGTTTGAGGCCATCCTGGGCTATATGAGAACATGTCTTGAAAGAAAAAGAAATGTTACGGCCAGACGTGTCCTTCAAAGACTCATCTGATTTCTCTAACTAGATTTCCCCTTCCATGGTTCTACCACCTCCCCATAACTTACTCAAATTTGGAATCTTGAATGGATTATGCCATCAATTAATTCAGAGCCCTCATTATCTGATTGTTTATGGAAATGCCTTAGGACACCCAAAGGTGTGTTTATGAAGATCCTAGGTGTCTCCCTGCTCCATCCAGTTGTAAACTGTAGTTGGTTGTTTTACTCTTTACTCTTTTGGCTCTTTGGGGGGCCCACCACCCAGCTCCCAAATAAATCACATGAAAACTTATTCTTTCTTATAAATGCCTGGCCTTAGATTGGCTTGTTGCTAGCCAGCTTTTCTTAAATTATCCTGTCTACCTTTTGCCTCTGGACTTTTATTTTTCTCTATTCTATATACCTTTCTTTACTTCTTACTCTGTGGCTGGCTGTGTAGCTGGGTGGCTGGCTCCCTCCATTCTTCTTTGGTTACCCCTTAATCCCCTCTTCCAAGATTTCTCCTCCTACTTATTCTCTCTGCCTGCCAGGCCCACCTAGCCTTTCTCTCTGCCCAGCTGCTGGCCGTTCAGCTCTTTATTAGACCCATCAGGTGTTCTAGGCAGGCATAGTAACACAGCTTCACAGAGTTCAACAAATGTAACATGAAAGAATGCAACACACCTTTGCATCATTAAACAAATGTTCAACCACACACAAGAATGTAACACGTCTTTCACTAATATTCCACAACAGTAAACCACCACAGTCAAGAAACTAGCCGACAAGCTAACACTTCTGTATGAAGGCAATGTTAGTGACCCACTCCTAGATGATGGGCTTGAGCTTTTCACTTCCCTTGCCTTTCTTACAGTGGTATGGATGTGTCTATTCACTCATCCTGTCTTGATCCAACTTGGACACAAATGGGTCCAAACTTCAGGCAAGTGACAACCACCAGAAAGACTGAAACAGTAAAGTGACACTAAGCCTGCTTAGGCCCATTGGTGTCACCTACCCTGGTGACTCTGATTCTGTAGCCTCTGGGAAATTCCTCTACGATAACCTTCCAGGGACTGAAAACCAGTGTTTGTTCAGCTCTACCTAGCTTCATTATCTTCAGCCTAAGGAGGCAGGGGAGTTTCCTAGTTCTGTGGCTCCTTCTCCACGCTGCCCCTAAGTTCTGACAAAGGCTTCTGACAAGCAGGCAGGATCAGAGGGAAGATAACTCTCTCAACGTTATGGTTTGAATGTATAATGTTCCCCATGACATCACTATCTGAATGATTGACCCCAGATGCTAGCAATGTTTTGGGAGGCTGTGGAAACTTTAGGAAGTGGTGGCTCAGTGGAGGAAGTAGGTTGCTGGCGGTGGGTCTGTAGGAACATTTTATCACGGACTGCTTCCTGCATTGTTCTCCCATTTCTGGTCCATGATGTAAAGACAGCGTCTCAAGACACGCCACACCTCCTGGGATGGACTGCATCCTCTGAAACCACGGACCAAACTGAATCTTTCCTTCCATAATCAGTTTCCATTAGAAACTATCACAGCCATGCAAATTGACTTAAACAATCCACATGTTAGTGTGCTTTCCCATGACTTCAGGTACTCAGAGAGGCACACATGTAAGACACAGACACAATCAAGAAGAGTCTTTACTCTGAGGTCAGTCTCTTTGTTAATTAGTGACCATTTCCTTCTCAACCACTGGAGGTGTGCTAAGCAGCAAACGCACTAGATGGTCTATCAGGGTAACCAAATTCACCTGAAGGTCCTCGAGATGGTCTCAGAAGCTGCCCCAAGAACTCCACAGCATCAGCCCACAAGCCCCATCTTAAGTAGACGCTTTAGGGGTCTCTAATCACAGAGCACATGTAGTCTCTGAGAACCTCATTTTGTTGGGGATACGTTTGGAAGAAAGTCAAGCTCCAGGAGAAGTGCACATAACCACTTTTTAGGAGAAATGACAAACTAAGGGGACAAGCAGTGTGACATTTATCAGGTCACATTTGTGCCCATGATTTCACGATCACCGCCCCCCTACACACACACACACACACACACACACACACACACACACACACACACACACCCTCAATTCACACACCGGTGCACAAATTTGCCAACTGATCCACCGCCAGCTGTTAGATGAAGAAGCGAGCGATACAGTTTTCCTTCTTAATAAGATTTGTATTTCGAGCAGAGCCCCCCACTAAAAACTCTCAGTTATAACAATTTCCACATCCAGTTTACTGTCAGGATTTTTGCTGAATGCTTTCAGTGGAGGGATGATAGGGAGACAAGACGTTTATGTTCCTGGGCCATAAAGTAGCTGTCTTTGAGGAGATAGCGTCACTCCAGAAAGAAAGAGAGAGAGAGAGAGAGAGAGAGAGAGAGAGAGAGAGAGAGAGAGAGAGAGAATTTCATGCTGCAACTTTCCTTATCGTATAAATGAGAATAATACATGCCAACTCAATGTCTATTGGGAGAGCTAAAAATACACAGTAGACAGACAGAATTCAATAGGTACTCAGTGCGTGTTGGTATCATTTCTTTGAGGCTAAAGAAGAGGAGGTAAACAGGCATGATTTTCTCAACCTGGGTGGAAGCTGAGAGAAGAGGGAAAGAGGGGGTTCACACCCCCCCAAGGGAACTAGGAGGGTTGGGTTTCCTCTTGGCAGAGCAGAATTGACAATGAACATGTAGCCTTTGCAATTTAGTGGCCATGGGATTTCCTATGGCATGATGGTCTACGTCGATATGCGAGTTAGGGTATGTGAGCTACCAAGCAGATATATTTAGGACAACCAGACAAACAAGCTAAACTGTGCAAGGGGGCTCAAATCTGGACCCTAACTGGAAAATGCCAGAGGTATCTTTGCTTTTTTGAAATTCTCCTAATGCAAAGAACCCTGGTCATATGAGACTATTTTCACACCTGAAACACACTATGCTGTTTGCTATTCTTTTGCACATGCTTACTTACTGTGCTTGGAATGTCTCCCCACCCTCCACCTCCTCTCCACAGTCAATACCTATGTCTAGGAAGTCTTTTCTGTTTCCTTCACAGTAGGGGAAGTGCCACCTCCCGAACTCCGAGGCTTGCTACTGACATTGTGCTGACCCCTTCTAACTTCCCACTGTTTCCTAGGTGTTTGCACTCCCCAAGGATGACAGTACATCCTTTGAGGGGATGTGTTTATATAGGCTACACAGTCCTATATATATATATATATGTCATATGTCAAATGAATGGACAAAGGCCATATGTCAAATGAATGGACAAAGTGTGCTAAAAAGAAAGATCCAGAACCAGAGCTTAACTCATTACATTAACTCATTACATTATCCACCCCCATCATACTCTATCAGCTACAGAACAAATAGCTATGTTTTATAGGGCAGTTAGGGAAATTGAAGTCTTTATAGGCAAAGGGAGTGGTGGCCTGTTAATTCCTTTCAACCTGACACTTATGTGTTCTACTGAGTAAAATGAATTATGTTAGGAGATTATTAATGATAGGGAGCATCTTGGCTCTCATGAAAAGTGGGGTTGAGGCTGTTACTTTTTATACGTCCTCACATATTAAGAAAGAATGAAGTACCATTGCTAGCAATGGAAGCCAGAGACACTTCCCTGCCACTCACTGCTCTTGTTGGCCTGGGACCCACCAGTGCAGTCACACCTGCGCCACTTAAACTCTGAAGGCAGCTCTTGGGTGTGGCTAAGTGTGACAGGGAGTTTTCTCCGGGAAGTGGAAAACATTATAGTCCAACATGCCCCGGCCCAGGACATCAAATGTTGTGTGGAGAGTTTCGTGTCTACTGTAGGCATGCAACTGAGGGGTAAGCCTGCTTACAGTGAACTTTAGGTCTCTTATCAGTGAGGCGATGGACAAAAGATGTGTAAAAATCCATCCACTTTCCAAGGAGCACAGACTAATTCATCAGAGCCCAACATAGGAATCTCACATGTTTGTGAGATTTTGACCAACGTTTGATAAACGCATCACCTGAAACATCAATCTTTCATGCTTCCCAGGCTAATCCTCCCAGGGGACATGTTTTAGGAGGTAAGTCTCTGGGGCTTTGTCCTTCAACTCCGACCTTCTCTCTTGGGCTGAGCCCACAGGAGAAGTCATGGCCAAGCTCGTACCAAAGCAACAGCACCATGCAGAATGGTACATTTGACATCAGGGAAGGAGGAGGAGGTCTACTGACCTTGTGAAGCTCCACGGGAGTTGGGGACATGATCTCCTTCATTTCTTGCTTCATTTTCCTCAGGGTTACCGACTTCCTGCCCACGTCTGAGGGCAGGGTGTTGCTGCGAGTTGTTTGGCTGTAGTGTGGCCGTGAACTGCTCCGTTCCTGGAAGCTGGCCTGCCGCCCCAGCTGACTGCGAGCCGTTGGAGCCTCATGATTCAAACTCATGGTGCTCCCCGACATGATTGTTGCCTGTGGCATTGACAATTTTCAGAGACAATTAAACCACGGCTCAGGGAAGGGCTTGCTTGCTCAACATTAAGCACAATTCTCCTTCTGCCCAGTCAAAACATGGTGTCTTCAGGGCATAACCAAAGGCTGGAGAATGGACGCACTAGCCGAACTATGAAAGTCTGGAACAAGCTTTGCAATTACATTTATAATGCACATCTCAAATCGAATAGAAGTACTTAAGCCCTTGAGTTTATTTAATCAAATACCACCCCTAGCAATGCTGAAGCAAATTGAAAAGCTCCAACATTAGTTTACTGCAAACTGCACTTTAAGCACCAACTTCCCACCAAGTTGGCTCTAAGAGCTAGGATTCATGGAGGCACCTTCAGTGTGTCTTAGAGAAGTGGTCAGAAAGCTTGATGGGGGAGGCCAGGCTGCCGCTGACTGTAATGCTGCCTCTGGCCTCAACAGAAGCACTCTTTAGGCTGGAATGGGATGACTGATACAGAGGCAAAGGGGTCTCCTAACACTTCCAGCCTGGCACTGTCAAGACCATCTTCTTTCTGGTCCCGTGACCTGACCCAGAAGCTTGTAGATGCATCTTTTAATATTCATTGGCATTTGGCTTCTGTATCTCATGGCCCAGAGTATTTCTTAGAAGTGGTCTTTGTGTGATATTCTCAGGGAGGTTTAAAAAAAATTACCCTTTTATATTGGATTCAACCATTTGCTCAATTTAATCATCGCTCAACTGTGAGGCTTGGATTGGATTTTTACCAATGAAAGGGAAGTTTGCTCAGCTTCAAATATATTCCCTGAATAACACATAAGCAATGGCAAGATTATATCCCTGAATCTCAGAACTAGAACAAAAAAAGAATTTGAAAGCAGTATCATGATGGGAATGGACATTTCTCATATTAGAGGGTGCCAGGATTCTAGAAACAGGACTGTGGTCATCTTTCTATTCTTTATGTGATGCTTATGTACAAAAGTGTGCACTGGTAAAGGTGCCTGAAACTATAGAAACAGAAATTATGTCCATACCCAGGTGAATAAATAAAATGTGGTTTGATGACATTAATGAAAAAGCTATAAGCAACAAAGCTTGATTTGTTGAACTCTTTTGAACGTATTCATTAATTTAAGCCTCGTAAGTCTGGAAGGTAGGCCCTTCACTCATCCCAGTTTATAGGAGACCAAAGTGCAAGGCATTTTTCTTTATTTTTATTTTCATTTTTCCGGATCTGGGGACCGAACCCAGGGCCTTGCGCTTGCTAGGCAAGCGCTCTACCACTGAGCTAAATCCCCAACTCCGCAAGGCATTTTTCTTGCCCAAGGTCATACAAGCAGTAACTGAACCAAGGGCACTCGTGGTAGCTATCCACTAAAGGGAACACTGCCAAGTGAACAGCATCTTTAGTTGTCTGATGTCAGAGTTTACATCTCCCCATTGATGCTCAGTGTATACGTGTGCCACTAAGAAAGCACAACAGCCAAGCATTGGCACAGATGTACATAGATCTAACAACTGCATGAGAGAGAGAGACAAAACCGACACACCGGTTCTGACTGGACCACGTACGTCACTGATGCCTTTGAGAATGGAAATTCTAGCTGCAGACAAATCCTCGCCGATGACCGAGCACTGCACATAGTGTTACTTAGGATTCAGCAACGGCATACGTAGATTTTAGAGATTACGTGTCTTATTCCTTCACAACGGGAGGAAGACAAGGGACACCTGGGTAGGTTCTGTAACTTGTCACGAGTCTGGTATGGGGGATCCCAGCAGTCCAGTTGCAGTCTTGTTCCTTGACCAACAGGCTCTCAGGCTTCTTCAGCCAAATAAACTTCCCTTTTGTAGGTAAAAAGTCTCCAATATTTCTAACATTTAAGCAAATGGAGGCATCTATAGCATTATGTATTTCCAATAAATACCTTTTTTTTTTGAGGCTTATTAACAATCTGTGGCCAGCTGTGTTGGTGTCATGAGACATCTCTCATTTGATGGCACTGACATGGGGCTTATGTGTTTAATCTGTGGTAACTGACAGTACCCTGTGATCATTTTTTTTTTCCCTGCAGTGGTGACGGTCCATCCATTGTTCTTACCTACTTAGACTATTTATCTGCTTTATTTATATCTATTTTTCTTTCTTTCTCTCTCTCTCTCTCTCTTTTTTGTGAGATCCACAGGAAGCATGTGGGAAATGAAACACTCCGTCACTGAGGCTGAGGGCTGACAGTCTGGCTTTGACAAGTCTGAGCTGCTGCCAGAGGAGACAGTGTCAGTGGGTTTTACTAGGGTCCAGTGGCCAAGAGAAGAGGTAAGAACAGCTCCTCCTTCAAGTTTTCAAACCCTGACTGGATGGCTCACTTACACGAAACGTCAAGGGAATGAACAACATCTAAAAAGGATTATAAAAGTTGAAGTAGAAATACCATTTAGGTTCAGGCATCTGGTTAAACTTTTGTCTGTTAAAAAGGTTAAAGGAGCATTAGCTAGGAAACAGCAGACTCAGTACTTGATTATTCTTGTGTTCACTGAGCATCAGGTTCTCTATCATTCTGGTAAATATTAGATCACTATAATTTCTGGTTTTTAAAGCATTTTATTTTGATTTTTCAAGACAGGGTTTCTTTTGTAGCCCTGGCTGTCCTGGAACTCACTCTGTAGACCAGGCTTTTCCTGAACTCATAGAGATTCGCCTGCCTCTGCCTCCTCCCAAGTGCCCGGATTAAAGGCGTGCACCACCACCTGGCAATTCCTATGTTTTATACACCAAAAACTGGTTAAAAATTACTTGAAGTCTTAGTTTGAGTTTTTAGCCTCAGGGAAGGCTGTACTTTTTTTCAGTGATAAAGCTGAACCTAAATTATTGCTAGCAATAATGAAAATGAGTAGTAAATTCTCATTTTAATCACAATTAATTAATTAATTAATTAATCATTTCAGCTAATCTGTGTTTATAAACTCCACAGTTTGCTTTAACTTCTGATGTTGAAGGTAAATTTCATCCACAGGACTCCAGCTTTGATAAAAATGTAACAGCTTTCCCAATCAAGAGAACATGATTCACTTAAACAATGTTTCAAGGTTTTGTGATAACAGTGTAAATATGACTGGTGAGCATTCCTCTTCACTGAAGATTTAACTTCTCTCTGGCTTAGAGCTCAGTCCCTTTCCTTCCTTCCTTCTTTTGTAATATCCTGGACCACACCACATAAAGCTGCTACGGAGGTACCTGTGGGCTTCTGGAACATACTTCCATGGTGGTGGTTTTCATGAGCTAACTCAACTTCTAGGTAATGGCCCAGGCTCATCCAGTTACTTTTTATAGGACTGTCAATGTACACAATGTAAAAGAATCTCTAGGAAGTGTGAGTGCCACAAGAGAAATGTATCAAGACGGGAAAGACATGGGAACCAAAGTCAGTTAGGTAAGTGCATTTGCTCAAGAATTATGAATCCATGTTCCTGATTCAGCCTGCACCACTCGTGATTCTATGTACAGGGGGTGGTAAAAGTTTAAATAAACCAGCTGGCACTTAAGAATTGTGCTCTTTTTGGAAACTGTATAAAAGAGAAATCAATAGCTCATATCTTAATTTCAATTTTATAAGTCTATCCATACCCAGGTCCTTTAACTGTGCTCTGAAGCCAAGATTCATGCCACGTAATACTATGGTGTCTATAAATTCAAACTGCTGTTTTCCTTTAGAATTCTCTTTGCAGGTTCACAAACATTAGAATCACATAAAGTCTCCACACATGCAATTGAGAAGCAAAATAACGTAAAGATGAGTAACCAGTTTAGAGGCGCGAGAGTTCCACCCGGTAGTGCCATTCGCATTCCTTAGAGTGACTTGGGGATTCTCGTATGACATCAAAACAAAAATGAGACTTTTCACCACTTTACTTTTTACAGCTTAGAAACTTTAAAAGAACATAAAAGGAAACATTCCAGGCCTTCCCAGACTAAGTCCGAATACTGTCAGCAGATTCACGGCTTTGTTTAAGCCATCGCCCAGAGTCCAGCTGTTACACAATCCAGCTTATTCCTCCTCCGATTCGGGTGACGTTAATACAGAATTAAGATTTCCAATGAACAGCAAAGCAGGGAGGTGGGGTATTTTGCCTGCTCATCAAACAGACCGGCCTTTTTTAAAAACAGCCACGTGATTATCAACTTAAGGGCAAAACCAAAACACAACTGTGTTTCCTCTTATGTCCCTCTTAACGATCAAATTAATTTCTACACCAGGTACAAATGAAAACATGCCAAAGAAACCTTTCTAAAGCAGCTAAGAGAAATGAAATGCACCACGGTCGGGAGACTGGGCTGGCTCCTTAGCGATTTGGTGGGAAACAGGTACAGTCAGGATTAGCAAGGGAGCGATGGCGGAAGCCACAAGTCAGTCAGAACTGCATTGTGTAAAATCAAACTGCTGTCTGGAAGGCAAGGGCGGGGACGGGGGGAAAGGCAGCTTCACAAGCAAAAGTATAAACAGAAAGGGTAGCTACCAAGAGAGTCATGTTTCTCAATGACACACGCCTGTCAGCTTTCTCCTGTGGAAAGGGGTTAAAGCTTTTAAATGAACGGCTGTGATCAATGCAAACGTAAAAAGGACCAAAAAAATAAACAAATACATAAATAAAAATAAAAATGAATGTAGAAACAAGTTAAGCATCGTGACTGAGGCTACCTCAAGCTCTCTCAGGATCCCCGACTGGCCGCAGGTCTCCAGGTCCTCCAGTGCTTGAGACCAGAAGTTTTCCTCTTGTTCAGCCTCTGCACTGTCAGAGGCCCCTGCGAAGCTGCCCGCAAGAAACACATTCTGGGTTAAGGAAGATGCGTGCATGCATGCACGGGCGTGTGCACACACATAATGCACACATGCGCACAAACTTGTACACACATGTACATACACTTCTGTATACTGAATATTTCTCCTCATTTTACACACACACACACACACACAAAAAAAAAAGAGGAGAAAAGAGATCCACTTTCACCAAAGGTTCTTTGGACTGTGGCCTCCAAGTAAAGGCATCTCTGATATGTTAGGAATGCTAAGTGGCCTGCAGAATTAAATGGCCTTTGTCACTACTAGCTGGCTTTGAGAATATTTATGGCTATTGCTGGCTGGCTGCATTGATGTGGCTGTACTGTGGCAGACGGTACCATGGGAATATATTTTCTCTGCTCCATCTATGGGGGAGGACACATCTCCTCTAAGAATTTATAACATCGCTATAAACAAATTAATACTTTTACTTTTTAATTTTCTTAAAAATGTTTTGATAAGGAACCAACCCTAAGTTATCTTTCTTTCACTAAGGAAGTATGGAACGTGGGCTGAGGGAATGGCTCGTTCAGTAAAAATACTCGCCCTGTAAGCATGAGCACCTAAGTCTGATATCCAGAACCTATGTGGAAAAGCAGGGTATGGGCATACACACTAGCCATCCCAGCAGTGAGAATGTCGAGACAGATGGATCCCTGGGGCCTGCGGGCCAGCCAATCTAGCCTCATTAGTGAGCTCTGAGTAGATGGGTTCCTGTGGTTGCACGGACACACACACACACACACACACACACACACACACACACACGCCCCTCTATGGTTCTCTTGTCTGGGACTGGTGGCAGCCACCTGTAATCCCAACAGAGGAGTTTCAGGTAAGCCTGGGGCTCCATAGGGGAGACTCTGCCCGAAAGCAAAGGAACTCTGGATGTAGCCTACATGTGACTTAGTGTGAAATTGCCTATAGGAAAAGGGAAAGGAGTTGATTGCCACAGAAAGGACATGGTTCCTAGAAGCTGACTTCCCCCAGTGCTACTCTGGGAAACTGTATGTTGCTTGGTGTTATCTGGCCCTCACTGGGCAGGCCCACGATTTGGGAACCTTCGATGTGGCTGATATGGGTGGTTAACATGGTGACTTCACAAGGTCAATGCTAACAGAAGCTGCCACTGGGTGTGGAGGGGTGCAATGCCTCCCTCTGAGACCCGGAAGTCACCAGCATCGGGGGAGGGGCAACCACCTTACCCGCTGGCTGTGGACCGATCCCAGTCTTCATTACTCAGCCCCGCGTCTGGATAAGTCTGGCTTCGAGGCTTGGGGACTGGGGACAGGCTGCCTCTTTGTTTTGGACTCCTCCAATCATAGGTGTTGAAACTGTATCCTGAAGTCTGAAAAGTGGAGCCTGACACAGAAGCAGGGTGTGAGGATTATTATCTCATCTACTGAGATACGACATCGTTGGCCAGAAGAAGGTCAGATGGCAAAGTAAGATCGGGAACAAGAGCGAGCACCCAGTGGTACTCAGCCTGACTCACTGCTCTGAGGGCTTTCTTCACAACCAGCTGTGTTACTATAATTATTTGCAATTAAAAGACAACGTTAAAGGCTTTGAATGGTGGTTTCTAGCACCTAAGCCTTCTGGGGGTTTCAAGCCACAGTTTCAGGAGGACCAGTTTTCAGGTCCACATTCGCACCTCCATCTTCCCCATACTGCCTTGGCTGACACAGATCTGGACTCTGGACCGACAAGGTCTCACGCCTCACCTCTCCTTTCACAACTGTTCCACCATGTTTCAAAGACAAGGCTCCTTTCTCATTCATGTTAAACCCTTGAGGGTGCTCGGCCTGGAGTACAAGGAGTATAAGTAAGTAAAAGCTACCAAATTCAGGGAGAGGTTGGAAAAGCCTTGCTCCTGAGAGAAGGGCACCCAGAGGCTGGGTCATAGTTCAACCAGGCAAACGGAGGGTAAGGCATGTATCCCTCCCTCCACATTGCCCCGGCATCTGTCTCTTTCTGAAAGTCAGAAGTAAGGAAGATGTCAAGGTGAGGAAGCTTGAGCATTACTGTGTTTATCTGACTTGCAAAACAAAGACTGTGTTTTTGATGGGGGAGGGGAGCATTAAATCTGATTAGCCTGATAGGCAAGACATTGGGGGGATTAGGGAACAGTTAGGTTATGTAATATGCATCACCCTTGAATTTCAGCTAAGTCTCTAACACCAGGATTTTGACAGTCATAGATTTAAAGGATATTTATAGCAAGGTAGGCATTACATCCTTTGTAGGTATTTTGAGGAAAGCATTTAGAAGGCGACTTCAAATATGTGGTGGAGTATGTCGTTTTTCAGTATACCTTTTGGGGGTTCAACTGAGAAATCAAGGGCATGTGCATAGGGCTGACTCCATAGCCTGTATCATAATTACCACACATTTCTTAATCCATATCCTCAGGTTGTGTAAACATACACGTATGGCTTAATAGCAGACGCGTGTCTTACAGTATTTAAGGAATTCAACATAACCAACACTAACAAAAATTTTCACTATTTGGGGGCTAGAACCTGGGTCCTGAAAGGGGTCAAAGGATGGCCAATGAAAGCTTGAGGTTAGTTAGCATGCCAGCATTTCCTAGGTCTCAGGGCTGGGAAGATAGGGTTGACCACGCTGGAAAGAGTAATGGCCAAGACGCAGTCATAATAAATAAAGCCTGCTCTCTACTCCCAAATCCATCAGTGCATTCTCTCCACTCCCAAGAAGATACTCTGGGCTCTCCTACTACCTACATGTGTTCCTCCCTGCAGGAGGCAGGAAGTCACCTGATCAGCCAGGTTGGATCTATTGCTGTCTCTGCCCATCCTCTCACACTGCTGCAGGGCTATGTGGTAAGTTAGGAATAATCTGTGAGACATCCTATGGCTAGGAGACTTCTCGGAAGAATCCTTACAACTCTTGTTCCAGATGTTGGAAATGTCAGCCAAACAGCTGGAGGGCTGGTAACAGTTTGGATCGAGAAATGACCCCCAAGGATAAAAGTGCTAAATATTTGGGAGCATAGATTCCCAAAACATTGCAGGGTTCTGTATCAGTGTTGATATGCCTACATCTTTAAAACTGAAATCATGTCACTGTTAGGAAAAGTACCCTGATTCTGGCTACAGGATGGTCCTTCTTCAGCATGTGCACTTATCTGTATGGGAGCATGTAGCAGGAATCTTAAAAGTTCTTATTAATAAAATCAAACCTGAGGCCACTTATTGGGGTGAATGCTGGAGGATTGGAGAAGCAGAACAAGCCACAGCTTCCTCACCTTGCTAGTTTCTCAGCTGATCCTGTTTCCTCAGACTGGAAGCCTCTGAGTCCTCATCCAAAATGAATCTCAGCTAAACTGCTGCTCAAAGCCTAAAAGCTTAACCAGCCAAATGCTTCTAGTTCCTGGTCTTCACGCCTTATATACCTTTCTGCTATCTGCCATCACACCCTGGGATTAAAGGCTCACTTCTTGGGATTAAAGGCGTGTGTCACCATGCCTAGCTGTTTCCAATGTGGCCTTGAACTCACAGAGATCCAGAGGGATTTCTACCTCTGGAATGCTGGGATTAAAGGTGTGAGTGCTACCATTTTCTAGCCTTTGTATCTAGTGGCTGTTCTGTCTCTGACCCCAGATAAGTTTATTAGGGTGCACAATATTTTGGGGAACACAATACCACCACAGGAGCATGCCTGTGTGCACACACACACCCATACACTGTCCCCCTACACACACTTTATAGCTGGAGCATGCCTGTGCGCACACACACACCCATACACTACCCCCCTACACATACTTTATAGCTAACTCCAACTTTTACTTCTCAACATATTTTGGATTGATAAAGAACAGGGTGGATTAACATATGCAAACACTATTTGTTTTCAGGGTATTTATTATACTAGGGGCCGAAACTTGCTTAGAGAGTAATGAAGAATCTGGGATAGAATGGAATAAAGTGCACCCTAGAGAGGCCCAGTTACAGAGTGTTCTATGCTGGAAACTCAAGGCCTTTGGCTTTAGCTTGTAACATCAGAGAAGCAGCAAGAGAGTCTTTGAGCTTTTTATTTTTATTTTTTAAGAGAGTCTATGACTTTGACTTTATTTGTTTTTTTTTTTCCTAAGCAACATTGACAGGACTATGAAACTAGATAACTCAAAGAAAGAGTTAAGTGAGAGCGTAGGCGTGATGCTCCAGACTTGATGGAGGCTGTGTAACAAAAGCAGCAGTGACGGGGAGACACCAGAGACGCTAAGGGGTAGAAGCAGTAAGACGCGTGGGCCCTGATGCCACCAAGGCACTGCCCACCTTCACCAGGCTCTGGATGACGGTGTGAGACAGTAAATCTGCACTGTGGTTAAATGCAATTGTGTTGGTTTTCCTTTACAACTAGGCGAATGCAATCTCTAACTGATGCAGGCGTGTTGAGTTATGCCAAAATGTATATTTTAAAGGTACCTTGACTTCAAAATTTGGATATAAGGATATGTTACTTTGGAAAGGAGACTCTGCTTTTGTTTCCACAGAAAGCCAGAGGCTATGGATTTGTTCCAGATTAAGATACATCAGGTTTGACCAGCCAAGACCCCCTGAAAGGTCTCCGATGACACCATGGCCCAGATGATCCAACATCCAGAACGGTTTGAAGGCATCTGGCTCAGACGATACAGCCTCATGGACTATTCCATAATCCTAAAATTTTCTTTGTATCCCCATAAGATACAGCACCCCCCTCCAGCAGGAAGTAGTAAGAGAAGCTACGCCCAAATTCCCAAATTGTATGTAATTTTACTTTGTTAAGGTTAAAACCTTCCTTTTGAAAAAAAAAAGGGGGAAGTGCTGTGGAATGTTCTGTATGGCAAATGTGTTGCTAATTAGTTAATAAATAAAACACTGATTGGCCATTGGCTAGGCAGGAAGTGTAGGCGGGACAAGGAGGAGAATAAAGCTGGGAAGTGGAAGGCTGAGTCAGAGAGACGCTGCCAGCCGCCACGATGAGAAACAGAATGTGAAGATACCGGTAAGCCACGAGCCATGTGGCAAGGTATAGATTAATGGAAATGGATTAATTTAAGCTGTAAGAACAGTTAGCAAGAAGCCTGCCACGGCCATACAGTTTGTAACCAGTATAAGTCTCTGTGTTTACTTGGTCGGGTCTGAGTGGCTGTGGGACTGGCGGGTGACAGAGATTTGTCCTGACTGTGGGCCAGGCAGGAAAACTCCAACTACACAGGCGGATGTCAATACTATGACTTAAAGGGGAGAAAATTAGGCGGGTATAATAGCAAGCTGTTTTTCAGAGGTAGGAAGATAACAAATGCTGAGGAATAATCCTTTATGCTGGGATCAAACTGAAACTTTTGCAAACGAAAAATAAACTGCAAAAATGTAAGTTGGTTTTTATTGAATGGCGGTGCAAGTACATGAAATTAAAATGTGTTTATGATATTTGAAACTAAATTTGTATGAGTGTATGTGTTTGTGTAGTGTGTGTGTGTGTGTGTGTGTGTGTGTGTGTGTGTGTGTGTGTGTGAATGCACATGCATGTGCATGTCTGTGTATGCCAGAAATTTATGTTTGGTATCTTCCTCAAATGCTCTCCACCTATTTTTTGAGGCAGGATCTCTCACCAAATCTGGAGCTCATTGACCGGCATCTGGTTGGATTGGAAGCCCTAGGAATCCTCCCTTCTCTTTCTCTCCAGGGCTGGGACACCCTTGACTGTTTTGTTTGTTGTAGTGTAGACGGAGAGCCCGACTCAGCTCTGTATGCTTGTGTGGAAGACACTTTACCAACCGAGGCATTGCCCGGCTTCCGTAAACTGCATTTTAAGTGAAACTTTGATCAAAGAAACTGTAAAAATATATGTTGTAAGTAATCACTGCCTTGATTCAGAAATGTAAATCTTTATCCCTCTCTCTTCTTTATTTCTTCTGCATCTTGGTTTTAATATCGAGGTTTATATTTTGCGTCGTAATGAGGGTTTAAAATTCAGTCTTGGTTCTTTCTGCTGAGCACAATGTTTCATTTTATTTATTTGCAGAATGGAAGATAAAGCTTCACAAATGTAGGTTCTTCCAAATAGCCTTGGCACGGTGATTTTCATGTTTAGGGATAATAAATCTGAGATATTCGTTAAGTCCCGACACCCCCAACCCAGTCACACTTGCTTTTCTGTGTGTATTTTCCATCCATAGCCTTTAATTCCCAACCAGTCTTCCTGCAGGAAAGGAAGCCAAACAGTATTGGCTCCTACATAAAAAGTTTGAAAATGCTTTTGGGGAACTTACTCCTTGAGCCTAGAATTTGGGGGCTGTAAGTCTTGTTGTTCCTTGTAGTTTTGGAAACCAATTTTGGCATAAGAAGGCAAGC